CCCCCCCCCCAAAAGCTGGGATTAAGTGGGACCTAACCAATTGTCAGTTCTTTATGAACATATAACTTTAGAGCATTAAAATGTTTCCTTCATCATAGATTCCTACAACTGAAAAGAAAATCAGATGATTTGGAATGTGGGGCTCCACAAATGAGATCCAAACTGGTAGTAGGTTTTTTGTTGTTTTAAGATCTCACGATGTAACCCTGGAACTCACTCTGTAGTTCAGGGTGGTCTTGAACTCAGATCCACCTGCCCTGGCCTCCTGAGTGCTGGGTTAAAGGCATGTGCCATCATGCCTAGCACGATCTTTCCTTTTTAAAAGATGTTTAAATTTTGTGTCTGTTTTGCCTGCAGTTATACATATGCACCAGATCAGAAGTTGTAATCTTCAAATTAAATATTTTCCAAGTTGCCTTGGTCATGGGATCTTGTCACAGCACTTAAGTAACCATGACACAGGGTTGATTGTGTAATTATGTGTACATCAAATTAAACATTCATCTTTTCTCAAAGCTGGAAGGCATTTAGATATGACTATGCATATTGTCATATGCAGTTGATAGCAACACCAAATGGAATTCTAATTCCAAATAAAGAGTAATACAAACATTTGTCAGAAAAGCTTTTTCTATGTTCTACATAAAATGAAAAAAAAAAAAAAAAAGTACCTTGCTTCCAGTTGGGTCTTCTCCAGGTAAGTCATCACGGCAAGTTTTTTGTTTGTTTGTTTGTTTGTTTTTTTTCATATTTTCAAACATAAAAGATCATTCCATCTAAGAATGTAAAGGTGACTTGAGAAAAGTAAAATTTCTTGGTGTATGAAGTATTACTTACATTTCCGCTTTCTCACAGTATTCAAGCTGCTATTTAGGATGTTTCTGTGCCTCTCAGTTGGAAACAACCCACATCTTTCACCTGCCCAGCTGTGGCTCAGCTGTTAATCAACATGTTTTTGACAGCCAATTTGCTTCCCACATTGCTGACTACAACCTTTTTACTACCTCTTATTTCATGTCTTTCTTTGCACATGGGACACTAGTGTGGCTAAATTCTTACCAGGCATGTTAGCTTTCCTATCCCTAAAAACATGGGCCTCAAATGTGTTAAGTAATGGTATTTACCTGTAAGTTACACCTCCAGTGCCTAAGCCCAATTTTAAACTTAGCAAGTTTACTGTAAACAGCAGGAACAGACATTTGCTAGGTAGGAGCTCTGGTCTCAACACAGTTATACAGCCCATCCTATTAAGACAGCACAAATAACCCTACACGCCAACTGGCCCCAGTGCAGGCCACTCCAAGTGAACCTCACATGAGCAGCACAGGAACAAATGTGTCAAAAGCAGTCTTTGCTGCAAGAAAAGTGAAAAGGAAAAGGATGTTAAAAGGCAGCTAGATTGTTTATAGACTTGTGTTGGCCTCTTTTAAGATCTTACCACTTACATAACCCAAGGAGACAAGTTTGGCAGACTAGATGGCTTAGACACAGTCCATGTTGAGGATACCTGGCCACTGGTTTTGTATGCATCCCCAGCAAGATTGCCTAGCCTTAGTCTCAAGGGTTAAATTTCAGACACCACTTCCTTTTTTTCCATTTCATCTGACCTGTAGGCCTCTTTTAAGTAAAAAATAAAGTGAGTGCCTGTATGTGTACTGGCCCCACCTGCACTTTAATCATTTAGGGTCAGCAATACTGCATTTGAAAGAGAAAAAAAAATTTTTTTTTTGAGACAGGGTTTCTGTGTAGCCTTGGCTGTCCTGGACTCACTTTGTAGACCAGGCTGGGCTCAGACTTATAGAAATCCGCCTGCCTCTGCCTCCTGAGTGCTGGGATTAAAGACTCGTGCTACCACACCCAACTCTCAATGAATTTTTTACAAATAAACAGTTACATTTTAATGCTCTGAATACTCTTTCTTATACGCACTACTTTTTAGTGTTTCTGAGACTGTTTTTCCTGTAACTTTAGAAACATTTTTTTCAGTTTATTTATAAAAGGTTAGTTGTGTACATGCCACAGTAGGTGTGTGGAGGCTAGACAACTTGCAGACTCCTTCCGCCCTGAGAACTGAACTCAGGTTAGCCACCTAGGTGACCCTCCATTTGTACTTCTGAGACTGAGTCTTGTAGTCCACCCTGATCCTGACTTGAACTTGTTACTGCCGTCCTAACCTCTTGCTTGAAAGTGTGCTATGATGCCGGGCTCTTATAGTATTACTAGTCTTTTCCTTTCCTAATGGTTTGCTTCAAAAATAGCTAAAAAGCCAAGAAGCAATAATAATTTTCAAAGTTACTATACTTGTAATATGTCCCTTTTTTCAATCAGATGCTCTCACTGAAATATTTTCTCATTGCTTCTTAACCAGCTGGACACTCCACTGTGCCACTGCT